GGCGGGCCAGGCGCGGCAGGTGCGGGGGGCGGGGCGCCGGGCCTGGGAGGCCAGGGCCGTGGGAACAATGGCGCGGGCCGCCGGGGGTCTCCGGGCCCGGGCTCCTCCGCGCCGGGCCTCCGGGCTTCCTGCTCGGCCCCGGAGGTGGACTTTGCCCGCCCGGCTTCGGGAGCGCCGTTGGGGGTGGGGCCGGCGGCCCAGTTCCGTGCGGGGACTCGGGGGTCTGGATCCCCAGGTGAGCGGGGCGGGGTCTGCGGCCCGGGTGGGGTCTCCGGGCAAGGGCCTCGCTTGCTGCTTCCCACCCCCATCCCTAGTCACCCCCAGGGCCTTCCCCTGCACGCCCCCTCCCCCTTTGCACGCTCCCATCACGCGCCCGCGAGGACCCTTCCTCCTGGCCTCCGGTGCCTGGCCCCAGTCTCGTCCACGGCGCCGCACGCCCCCCGCCCCGACACACACACACACACACACACACACGCACACGCGTCGTTCTGCCGCGCTGCGGGCGGCGGCCCGGGAGTCCCCATCTTTCGCCCCCGCGAGCCCGGCCGGCACTATGAGTATTTTGCTCCAATGGACCGAGGAGCAGGCGAGCCCAGGAGAAGGGACACGAATGCCCGGGGTGGGGGCCCCCATACTCCGCCCTCTCCCCTAGCGCCGCAATTCTTGGGGGGGGGGAGGGATGCGTGGTGGGTCCCCAGCACGAGAGGCCGTGCCCTGCTGGGTCCCTGCTTCCACCGCCCCAGGCCAGAGCCTGGAAGCTGGGGCCTGGCCTTGGGGAAGACGGGTTAATTAAGGTCTGGGCCTTCCTGGGAGCCTGGGGGACGCCTTGCTCTCCCTCTGGTCCTGCCCCCTTGGCAGCAGCTGGGCACGGCCCATCCCCCTCTTGGTGGCCGCCCGATCAACCTGTTCTGGGTGTGGGTCTCGGAGACAGCTGTCCGTTTGGTGGTTCCGCCCTGGCCTGCCTTTTTCCTCTTGCTTTCTCCCGATGTCTCTGGTCCCTTCCACACTCTGCCATCGGCTTTGAGGAAGAAACTGGGTGGTGGTGGGGGTGCCCAGGACTGCCTGTGGCCCTGACATTGGATGTTAGGAGGCCACAGAAAGCTCCACTTTGGGTCAGAATTTCGAGTTCCAGTCCCAGGTTCCACGGGCACATGGCCAAACTATTACCCTCATTCTCTGAGCTTCTGTAATTGATCCATCTCACAAATATTTGTGGGTCTCCCCCCCACCAGGTCAGGAGACCCCAGCACCTTCCTTGCATGGTTGCTGGGAGGGGCTGCAGCAGGTACTGACCCCCAGTGTCTTCAAACTGCCAGCTGGCACAGGGTGCATGTTGGACAGACACTGGGGCGATTGATGGTGGCATCCGATTACTGTTCCATTCTACAGAAAGGAAAGTGAAGTCTCCCCAGGGGGTGTGGATGAGATCCTGATGCCCTGATTGACCAGTTCTGGTCTCACTGGCCCGACATCCAACACTTACGACCCTGAGGGTTGAGTTCAGTCCGGCCCCCACCTGCCTGCCTTAAGCAGGGAGATGGCTCAAAGGAGCAGAACCCCTGCTAGATTGGCAAACTCCTGGACTCTCCATCTGTGACTATCAGGTGCCAGGTGCCGAGGATGTTGGGGGGCGGGGGGGAGCTGCGGCCAGGGCTGGAGGGGGATGGGCATGAAACCGGATCATCCCTGCTTAGAGTGATAAGGTCTGTGATGTGGAGGCGGCAGCAGCCGGGCCTGGGCCAGGAGGTCCCTGCATTTTGGGCGGGATGGAAGATGAAGGTTTGCGCTGTGGGGTAGGCGTTGGCAGGGGGAGGAGACCCTGTGTGCCGAGGCAAGGGGGCGTGGGCCCTCCGGGGAGCCTTCAGGAGGACATGCACGTGGAGGGAACAGGCTGGTGACGCTGGTGACATTCCAGGAGGCCGAGGGTGGGCGGGGATCTGAGGGCACTAGGCAGCCACAGATGATTCCTGGGGACTGACAAGATCAGACCTGTGCGGCCACCCAGCTGGGAGAAGGGGTGGATCCCGGGAGAAGGGGTGGATCCCGTGGCCCCCAGGCGCAGGTGTGAAGGGGCGGAGCAGGAATGCAGGCTGGTGGCTCAGAGATAAGGTGGGCTTATCAGAAGATAAGGTTTGTTTTTGAGAAAATGTGTTTCTTGGTATGCAAGTTTGGGAGAGACTTGCACATCAGTGTGAAGTGTGAGGGAAAACCAGGTTTATTAGCTGTGGAATTGTGGGCAAGTGAGCTCTCTGGGTCTTGTTTTTCTCATCCGTGCAATGGGTATACGTGTTGCAAGGAGTCGATGAGCCAATGCATGGATCGTGGTATAAATAAGTGGGTACAGCTGTGCCGACCACGAGAGCAGCCCCTGGCCACGGGTGACCGCCGAGCACTTGAGACGTGGTGGGTCTTGATTGAGATGCACTGGGAACACAGAGTACGAGGGTACTTCAAAAAGTTCATGGAAAATGGCATTAAAAGATAAATTTGCTTTGGCGCAAAAACATTTCAAATCCGTGCATGGAAGGATCTTGCAAACTTTCATGGAAAGTTAAGACAAAACTGCACGATTTCAACTCTTTTATTTTGCACCCAAGTAAATTTATCTTTTTCAAGATTTGTTTTTACTTATTTGAAAGGCTGGGTGACAGAGAGAGAACTTTTATATGCTGGTTCACTCCCCAGATGGCTGCAATGGCAGGGGCTTAGCCGGGCCAAAGTCAGGAGCCAGGAGCTCCATCCGGGTCTCCCACAGGGGTGGC